GGTTTTCAAAATGTTTTACAAAAAAATATATGTGAAAAGTGTGGTGTGCATTTGTATTCAGCCCTCTTTGCTCTGATACTCCTAACTAACATCTAGTGGAACCAGAACTACAATGGAATGGTTTAGATCAAAGCATATTCATGTGTTAGAATGGCCCAGTCAGTCCAGACCTAAATCCAATTGAGAATCTGTGGCAAAACCTAAAAATTGCTGTTCACAGACACTCTCCATCATATCTGACAGAGTTTGAGCTATTTTGCAAAGAAAAAATGGGCAAAAATTTCACTCTCTAGATGTGCAAAGCTGGTAGAGACATCCCTAAAAATACTTGCAGCTGTAACTACAGTGAAAGGAGGCATTTATTATTTACCTTCATGATGCTGTTTGTTCATTAATGTTCCCTAACAAACCTCTGAGGGCTTTACAGAACAGCTGTATTTATACTGAGATTAAATTACACACAGGTGGACTCTATTTACTAATTAGGTGACTTCGGAAGGCAATTGGTTCCACTAGATGTTAGTTAGGAGTATCAGAGCAAAGAGGGCTGAATACAAATGCACACCACACTTTTCACATATATTTTTTTGTAAAACATTTTGAAAACCATTTATCATTTTCCTTCCACTTCACAATTATGTGCCACTTTGTGTTGGTCTATCACATAAAAGCCCAATAAAATTATTTTACGTTTTTGGTTGTAACATGCCAAATATGGAAAATGTCAAGGGGGATGAATACTTTTTCAAGGCACTGTAAGAATTGACAAGCACGCTTGTCAACAACTGATTACATTACAGACTGCAGTAACTAATTGCTGATGAGAGTGCCTGTCAATTCTCAATAACAATTCATAAGTGTCTCATTGCTCCTGTTTAGTATTTCTTTGCTGCGCAACAGCATCATTACTAGTGTTGGGCTTAATGTTCGAGTCGAATGTAAGTTATCACTGGTCACAAATCACACACAGTAGTATACAATGATATTATGAATGGATTCCACTGGATGGTTTACTTGGTGACATGTGATCAAATAGCGATCACAAGGTATCTCAGTCACTGTGAACACAACGTGGTGACTGTCACTCACTGATCTGTGTTCCGCGTCTCTAGTGCTCACTGGGTGCCAGGCTGTGCAGAGGATAGAAGCGACTAGTTCCGGCTCTCAGTGGTGCGCTAAGAGGATTAGCCAGCTGCCAATCAGGCATCTGGGGGGATCTCCACAGAGCCTGGACCAGCTCTGTGACTTCGACCAACAGCAGACTTTAGCCAGCTGTCGGCTGAATCTGGGTTACAGGAGTGCAGAACTAAGTGCACTCTTGTGACCCACAGGAGAAATAGGGGCTTTGGCCATGCTTCTTCTTTAAAACCATGAGACCGCCCAGCTATTTCCAGCTTGCAGTAGCCTGCTGTAGCAAAGTGCTGGAATACAAGTGCCAAGTTATTTTGCCAGTTGAAGACTTTCTCTATGCAAGGTTCTGTAAGGAGAGATTCACATGTTTTTGACCAAAAAGCAGCAGATAGGCTGCTGCATGGCTCCCAGTGCTGAAAAGTAGCATACTTTTACCTTGGTGTCTTGTCTCTTGTTCTGGATTATGCCAAACCTTAGGGCAAAGACTGAAGTGAAAGCAAGCCTTGTGATTAATGATTAGTGACTTGTTACTGCACAGTAAAAAGCAAAGGCACTCTGACATGACAAGATCTTTTTACTGGTTGTTGCTAATTGCCTTAATAGAAGTATCTCCAATAGGTACCACTACTGTAGGCAAAGTGACATACGGGTACGTCTCTGCCTACTTCCGGGTTTGGGCTGCGCGGCCCGAACCCCCTCCGCAAGCACCCGCTGTGATTGCACACAGCGGGAGCCTGTCAGCAAGTCCTGGCCAATGATTCATGGCCAGGACCTGCTGATCAGCTGTGTACAGTCACAGCCCAGAGCTCTGTGTTGACTTTCAACATAGAGCTCTTTACACAGGGAGCAGTCTGTCAGTTTCCCAGCCAGTGTCGTTAGTACAGTGACAGTGTACAGTGTTATCACTGATCACTGTATTAATGTCACTGGGGATTTTTAAGTCTCCCATTTAGTAAATCTCCCCCAAAGTCTTTTTAAGCACTTGCCTACCGGGTACTTTTACCCCCTTCCTGCCCAGACCAATTTTCAGCTTTCAGTGCTGTTGCACTTTGAATGACAATTGCATGGTCATGCAGCACTGTACCCATATGAAATTTTTATAATGTTTTGCACACAAATAGAGCTTTCTTTTGGTGATATTTAATCATCACTGGGTTTTTTATTTTTTGCATTGTAAACAAAAAAAAAGACCAAAAATGTTGAAAAAAAAAGGTTTTCTTTCTTTCTATTAAAAAATTTAGCAAACAGGTAATTTTTCTCCATCACTGATGTACATTGATATGGCTGCACTGATGGGAACTGATAGGCAGCACTGATGGGCACTGATTGGCTGCACTGATGAGGTGACACTGGTGGGCATTAATGAGGAGCCACTGCTGTGGCACTGATGGGCGCTGATGGGCACTGATAGGTGGAAATGATGGGCACAGATTGTCAGCACTGATGGGCACAGATTGTCAGCACTGTTGGACACTGATGAACACTTTTAGGGTTGCACTGATAATCAGGTCACTAATTGTTAGTGCCTTGATTATCAGTGTAGATGTCTCCTTTCACAGGCGCCAGATATCGGCAGTATTTTCCTCAGGCTGTGACAGAATGAGAAAAGTACTGCTGAAAACCAGCAGGTGTATTTACATGGTGATCAGCTGTGACTGGACACAGCTGATCACTAGGTAAAAAGACCGCTGTGATTGGTCCTTTACCATGCCATGTGATCAGCTGTGTCCAAAGGACACAGGGGGCGCGTTCTGGGAAGACTTCATATGTGGCCCTCTCAGAACTGGACGGCAGCACTGTAGCACGATCAAGAAGTGGTTATAAGAAAACACCTTCTAGACATTTTTTAACTTCACTTCTGCTTTCAATCCAATGCTGCCATCAGTGTTTTAGTACAACTAATATCTACAATTATAACTACTTAAAGTTGTTCTAATGGATGAAGGTTTGTTATCTACATGCATTTTATGCATGAAGATAAAAAACTGCAGTGTGCATCCAGATCCGGATCCAGCCATGAGCTCTCCTGGGTCTCTCCCTCCTCATTGGCTAAGACACAGCAGTGAGGTTACATTAAAGGTGGAAAAAGTTCTGAAATGGTTTATCTTTGTCTCATTTTTGTACATCACAAAACCTGACATTTTAACAGGGGTGGGTAGACTTTTTTTATCCGCTATAAGTATGACATGTTTGTTATTTAAAACAAAATGAAGGCTAGGCTCACACAAGCCACCACACTGTGGGCTGGCTACAGGTGTGGGAATTGATGTAATTTCTGCACCCGCAACCAGACGCAGTCGCATCACATTCTCTTGCGAGATGCGTGGGGTTGCCATTCATTCTGAATGGCACCCCCACGCATCTCATCCCGCATTGCGACCGTAAGCACTGGAACTGCATGGAAACTGCATGGTCAAAGAATACATGCAGATGCAGTTTTGCTGCGGATGCGTTTTGGAAAAGGTGCATGGACCTTTTCCTAACGTAAAATGCGGGCACAGCAGCCGATTCATTTAAATGCCCACACAAATGCGGGCCGCACAGCACACACTAATGTGAACCAAGGGTAACTTTACAATCACTGGTCGTGTCAATCTGTCATGAAATTTTTCTCCAGTATATTCGCAGGCTTCTGTATACTTTCAAAAAGTGCTTATAGTCTCAAAGCCACCACTTTTCTTAATATGCCTTTCTGAATCAATTGCAACTTGTTGGTGACAAAACTATCCACACCAATGAGAAACAAAATGTTAAAATACATGTTCATTGTTGCTCTTGAAGCATCTCCAACACTGTGGCAAAATGGGATCTTCCATAACATGAATACAGTGTTTTTTAAAACTACCTGTTGTGTTTTTTTTTTGTTAGACAAAATATGAGAACGGTTCCGGAAATAATAAAAGCCACACAACAGAAGCACAAAGCTTGCCTCTTCCCTACTGCTGCTAGAGCCACATAACACCAAGTCACCTTTGGTGTTTAATGAGAAACATCTAATGTGATGTTCTCCCAGCATGGTTGGTGGATGCTTTGAAATATTATTACAAAATCACCATCCTAGAGAAATAGCTCCACTTTAATCTGTTTAATGTTAAAAGCTTTTGCATTTAGAAAACTATGTAAGATGTATAAATTGAATGGTCTATTTAAAGTGATTGTAAACCTCTGACTTGAAACATGAACAAAGCATATCCCTCTATAGTGTATACTTGTCCAGAGCATTAAAGTGATTCTAAACCCTGGACCCGGCATTCACTGTATCTGGTCTCCCATAGTACACAGAACATGGCAATGCAATTATTTCAGTACATAAACAAATAGTCTAGTGGATTGTATCGTTTTTAGACAGGGTGATGAATTAGTCTACGGGTGGTGGCCGCAATAGTTAATATGGCAACAGCTACTACTGATAATTGGGCTATACTTCCCTATGTACAGACTTTTGCCTCATTCCTGTTGTGGGCTATGATTAAGCACTGAGGTTAGCGCAATACGCATTAACCTTTTGGTGTTATAGTGTTTTTACACTGCTTTTCTATACAATAAAGTTGATATGTGCTTTAGTGTGGCCACCCGCACTTTCCTTTGATCTACAGCACAGGTGTGCGAACTGGGACAGCACACACGCTAAAGGATTGTGGAGTTTGGGAGTGGTGAGCCTCCCTTGAGCAGCATCTCCTTCTCTTTCTAAACTGCTAAATACCTTTTCATATCAGCAGTTAGCGCAGTCTTGTGACTTCTATCAGTGTCCAGCAGATCACTGGTTAAAGCTTGTAGGAGGAGTTTTCATTCTCCCCTTATTGTCCTATGAGGCTGCATAACCCCTGATCTTCTGTCAGGACTGCGCTCATTGGCCCTGGGCTGATCACATGCACTCTCCCAAGAAAAAAAAATAAAAACTCTCTAGCAATACACACCAAACTGAGCATGTGCAGCTTGCCCCCAAGGTTCTATTCTATCAGCAGATGGATAGGGAACTGTGGAAGAAGGGAAGGATCAGAGAAGACAGGCTCAAACATCCTTTTTACACAATGTAGATGATTAACCCCTTAGGTTCCACAGAGAGTATAACAGGCATGGTTTACTGCATATGCAGATTGATTTTACTGTTGTGGGTTTAGTTACACTTTGAGTGACATTTCTTTCTGCTGCCTAAGTCACTTCTGACAAAGTTTCCTAACACCAAGAGGTAAAAAGGGAACAGAGGAGGGAGCTCTAGCACACAGCCTGTGAATGACATACCTTGAATGATCTTGCTGAGGAAGTGCAATTGCATGAAACGTGTCCAAGGAGCCATAACGCCGTGACGTCCTGCCACCAGGCTCCTGTTATAGATCCGGTGGTCCCCCTTTAATATATTGTACGGTCAGTGTACTTTTACTTTTATTTATTTACATACCTTGAGATATACCATTTACCCACGTGGATTAATAAATGACTTTTATCAAAATACTACACTATGGGCTATTATTTTTGTTGACTCCCCCGAGAGCCAACAATTCATTCCTAGAGCCCACACCCCTTTGCACAGGAGATATCCCTATATTGCTGACACCAACCTACCACCACCTGAGGAGAATGCCAGATCCAGGGTGACCCACCCAGCTCTATATCTGAGAGGCTTCCACGGTGGTACTCAGTGATTCCCCAAAAGAGACGACTACTGACCAGACCAATACCAAGAGGGAGAGTCCGTTATAAGCGGTTCAGCTCATCCATCCCATCCCTGAGGGGGACCTCTGGTTATTGATTATATGCGTATATAGGATACGCATCTGGTGAGTGCGTATTTTAGCTATTTTATCACCTCGCCACCTGGAACATTGAAGTCACTTATATCTCCCGTTACCATCACCTACCACAGATTGTCACCATTTTACACATTTATTTTACATACTGTGATTTTAACTTTTATCATATGTTTAGCTGGTTTATGGACTGGAAATATTAATTTGCAATACTTTAGCGCTGCACTCTCTTTTCTTTTTAAGCCTGTGAATGACAGCCTCAGCCCTATTCCTGTGTGCTGTAAATATATGTATATATGTGTCTGTGTGTGTGTAATTCTGCTCTTATGGGTAGGGGGCGTACGCACATGTCTGCCCACGCTGTCAGTGGCTCCTGTACATGCCAGTCACCGGGTCCTAGCCAATGATTCATAGCTAGGACACGGTGATCAGCAGAGCAACTGACTTGAGAGAGAGATATGTGAATGATTGAACTAGATGTCTTTTGTTTCTTTTTTCAACCAGAAAAACTATGTACACAGATCTCTTTCCTGTCAGTGGGGATGTACTGCTGCAAAGCAGGGAGATAAAAACCAGCACATTCCTTAAGTAATACACATCACAGTAAACAGTAAAAACACTCCCTGGCACACAGTTAATCCTTTGATTGCCCTAGATATTAACCACTCCCTACCCAGTGTCATTAGTACAGTGACAATCCTTTTTATTAGCACTGATCACTGCATTAGTGTCATTGGAGATGTCAGTGGCAGTTAATCAGTTCCCACTAGATGTCAGTGTCAGAATGCCAGCTGTACTATCACAGTCCTGCTAGAAGTTGTTGATCGCCGCCAGTACTAGTACAAAAGAAAAACTTCAGCTCTCTGCCCCCCTGCTTTCTGAAAGCAAAATGTATACATTCTGCACTTTGAATGGATGTAATTAAGAGAGGGCTACAGATAAACAGATACAACTTATAAAGGAGGATTTGTTTCATCTCTGTGTATCACATTAGGCTTGTCACTTCACTGGGTATATGTAAGGTTTTACAACCACCTTACTTAGGCCTGGTTTTAAATCTAAAGATTACAATCAGATTGTAATGTGTGTGGCCAGCATTATAATCTAGAGCAGGGCTGGGCAAACTTTTTGGAGATCAGCAGTGCCGCAATGGGTTCATATATTGGACCCGAAAAAAGCCGGACCAAGAGTAGATGAATGATGTTATGTGTCATCCATAGTAACGTATAGGCATATTCCCCCCATAGTAAGGGCATAGTAAACTTATCATTTAGCTAGTGTTCACATCTACTATAAAAGCTTTCTTTATAGGTCCCATTTCTGTCCAATGGCATTTCCTGGGAGTAACACCCCCAAGACACTTCATAACCCACTGAGTAAAGGTTGGTCCAGATAGTAGAAGCTGAAGGAAAAGTATTTTACTGCATCTTCATAGTAAAAAATACCCCCTATTCACTAATTCTTGAAGAGTGCCCCAGGGCCAGATCTAGCTGGTCATATAGTAAGGTGCAGTAAAAATGTTAATGGATCCCCCACATAGAAATTATCAGAAACATAGTAATTCATAGGACAGAGTACATAGCAGGGCAGTAAGTTCAATCCCCCATATTAATTCATCCCCCATTGTAATTCATCCCCCATATAGTAAGTCCTCCATATAGTAATTCATTCCCCATATTAGTAAGTCCTCCATATAGTAATTCATTCCCCATATAGTAAGTCCCCCATATAGTACTGTCATTCCCCACCTAAAGTAAGTCCACCATACAGTAATCTCAGTTCCCTATGGACCTGCTCCCCCTGCAACCCCAGTCCCACTGCATTTCCCTCCCCCCACTATTCTGTAAGTCAGGAGCCATGTGGGAACCTGACAGCCCAAGATCATGGGAGGTAAGTACCCCATGGGATAGGGGCGGGTTCCCCATATAGTAAGGGTCCAGTGTTAGATTCATTACAGATATTCTGTAAAGGTGAACTATACACTTTATTCCACTTGAGCCCAGAAGATTACCCCCCTTCCTGACAAGGCCATTGTTTGCGATACAGAGCTGCATTACTAGTGACAATTGCCGATCATGCAACACTGTAAATAAATTAAATTTATGTAAGTTTTTCCCCATGCATAGCTTTCATTTTAGTGCAATTTGATCCCCATGGGTTTTTCATTTTTGCACTATAAATAGTAATTCAAAACAACCATATAGTAATTCGTCCCCCATATAGTAATTTTTACCCCATAGTATAAAACATCTCCCCTATAGTAAAAAAATTTAAATCAAATTTCTTCATAAATTTAGTACACAATTCATATTTTTGGTAATTCTCAATATCCCTATAAGCATAGTATGATTGGGTTGTGCATCCCCCATATAAATGAGCATTATTAACTTGAATTTTTTTGTTTTGTTTTTAGTAATGGCGGCATTTAGAGTCCTATAGCATACTAGTAACCATTGACCCATACAGTGCTAAAAATAAAACTGACACTGTACTAATGACACTGGTTCAAAAGGTGTTAAAACATCTAGGGCGCTAGTGCCTAGCCAGTGTTTTTGTGTGTACAGTGTGCTATTTTTGCTAGGCAATCTGCTAGATTTTATTCCCTTAATTAGTAAAACCTACACCACCCATATAGTAACCCACCAGTCTATATCTAGAGGCTTCCATGGTACTCAGTGATTCCCCATATAGTAAGTCCAGACCATACCAAGTAATAAGCGGTTCATCCATTCCCCACCTATGGTTATTGATCCTCCATATGCGTAATTCAGGATACCCATATGGTAAGTCCGTATTTTAGTAATTCATTCACCTCGCCACCTGTAAGTCCTCCATATATCTCCCCGTTACATCACCTACCCAGATTGTCAGTTTTACCCCATATAGTTTTACATACGTGATTTTTAACCATATAGTAATGGACTGGAAATATAATTTGTACTTTAGCGCTGCATCTCCATTTAGTAAGCCTGTGAATGACAGCCTCAGCCCTATTCCCCAGTGTGCTAAAATATTTATATTCCCTGTTGTGTGTAAGTCTTATGGGTAGGGGCCCCACATAGTCTGCATCACCCATAGTGGCTCCTGTAAGCCAGTCACCGGGTCCCCATATAGTACCACGGTGATCACCAGAGCAGTAAGTTCCTGACTTGTCAGAGATATTGAATGATTGACCTTTTGTTTCTTTTTTCAACCAGAAAAAACTATCGTATTCAGATCGCCTGTTCAGTGGGGATGTACTGCTGCAGGCAGGACTGTGAACCAGCACAGTCCTTAAGTAATACACATCACAGCTGTAAAAACCTCCCTGCCACATCCTTTGATTGCCCTAGCCCCGCCTACCATCCTGACAGCTGCAATCCTGACTGATCCGAGAGGAGTGTCATTGGGATGTCAGTGGCCATTAATCAGTTCGAGATGGGGGGCGCTGTACTATCCAGAGGAGAGTTGTTGGGGGCCGCCCGCCAGGAGTACAAAAAGAAAAAGCGCTCTCGCCCCTGCTTTCTGAGGAAGCAAAATGCATCTAAATGGATGTAAAGAGCCGGGCTTGCCGATACTGATACAACTTGCGGAGATTTGTTTCCTCTAGTGTATCCGCATTAGGCCGTCACTAAAGGTTTTACAACCACCTGGGCCGGTATAAATCTAAAGATTGCCCGCAGGCCGTAATGTTTGCCCATTGCTTATCTAGAGCCAATGAAAACTGAACATGAACAAATGCCAACTTCTAACAAAAGAGAAAACATCTATAAATTTCTGCGTACAAGTTTTTCATTTTAATGAGAAATTATAATGGATGTGAGTGAAATGTATTTTTACTCTTTTAGGTTTAGGTGTTTTTAATTGGTTGTTCTATATCTGTTTTCTCACCATCACTACACAACCATGGTTACAAATAAACATCTAGTAGAAGACTTAGGGCTTGTTCACACTTGACTAAATTTCTAACTCTACAAAAACGCCCCTATAGCGTTAGACAGGCGTTGAGCTTTAGTATGGGTGTTCTACGAGCGTTAAAAATGCTCCCCAAATGCCCTAAGCGTGGTTTTGAGGCATTTTATAGACATTTTACAGGCGTTTTACAAGCATTAAAACCGAACTACAAACGCCTATAATAAACTCTAATGGTATTAAAGCCCTGCAAACGCCTGCCAAGCGTTTGAGGTGCATCACCATAGACTTGAAACTCCGCCTGACTTGACATTAGGCTTCACTTTTGAAGCGACGCGACGCTAACGCTTCATGTTTTGCTAATGTGAACAGCACTGTGTGCTGCCTATAGTATAATTTCCACAGGCATTTGAG